ACATGGTCTGTATGCTGGTTAATTGCCTCAGCTTATCAACAAACAGAGCAGGATGGGAGGCAGGATAAGGAATAGATATGGGGGTGGGGTGAAAAAATATGGGGTGGGAACTCTGGTGTGGGGGGGTCATTGGCAAACTGAGGATGCAGTGTATAGTGTGTGAGCAAAATGCAGATCAATCCTCCCGGTGCAATATTATTCACATACACGAAAAATGATCCTCAATGTATGAAGTGGTGGATACGCAGGTGGAATCCCTGCGTAATTACTGCCTACCAGGGACAAGGTAACAAAGGGCCTTATTCAGTCTGTGCCGTGTGGAGAAGTGGTAAAATGTGAACCTTTGTTTGAACCGTCGCTCTCATCCTACATCAAAGCAAAGGATCTGTCATAAGGTACAGAGACTCTCTGCGTGCCTTTCTAATAAACAATAAGTGCTATCTGCCCTGATTATAGAGGCTGCAAACGTCTAAATTATTTTTTAGACATTGCTGTATATCCATATTTAAGGCTTTAAGACGTCAGTTTTATTTCCAACAACATATACTTTTCTCTCTGCGTCAGCGAGTTTCAGAAGCAGATAGGTTGTCGCTGCAGCTTGAAGTGAAATCGAGACGCCAGCGCCACTCGTTTCCTCTGGATTCGCTACACTGCCAGTCGGAGTCAGAAGCAGCTGTTCTGTACAAGCGGACACGGCAAACAATGTGGAACAAAACTGCAATGGGAAGCAAAGGACCGTCACACGTGCTTGACAACTGACGAGGAAATGCTTGGTCTAAGCAGTTGACAGGGATTGAGGTTCCATCTCGGGCAATCTGTCTCCTCCTTACTTTGATTAAAAACAAACTAATGTCACCAGCTGATGTGCTCTTCTGACTCAAGGACCTCAGAGACGAGCTGATGGAGATGCCTCTGTGTTAGGGCTCCAACATATGGCTCGGCCACATAAAAAAAGATAAGAACTTCTTGAACTTGAAATGCATCTAAATTGCGTCTTGTCCTTTTGAATAAATATCTTAGAGAAGTAGTTGGTCTCCAAAGCCCATCTGGCCCCCAAACCTGAGCCATCTGAAACAGCTAAAAAGTTTCTGCTTATACATGCTGGACTGGCCTTTAATAACCTGTCATTTCAGATCTGTCTCACCCACTCTGCTTTAACCCCCAACTAACACCACCTGTTTCCAAAATCCTCCACTCACACCTGTGAGCTATTTCCGTGCAGGGCTGATAAACACAATCCGCCTTCGCCTGTTATGATGATTTAACTGTGATTAACCACATTCTTGTGGTTTCAGTTTTTAGCGAACAACACTAAGGCCTCATTGATGTCTAAACTAAACCTTAAATGGATTCTGTCTGACACATAAGTTAGAAAATAACATCCTGTCCCTACCTAAAGAAAGTCAGCAACATAGGAGAAACAGTTATAAACAGAGAAAATGTGGAGCAGTGGTGAACTTTTTCCGCAATCGCTCCAAAAGGTCATCCAGGAGGTCATCCAGGAGGTCAGAGAATGACCAAAAATAACACCTAAAGCCCCTAAAACTTTTTTTTTGATAGATTTTTTCCTTCAAAACAGGTTTATTCTAATATTTACTTAGATTATCTTTGATTTTCCTAGAACTTTTCCTTTATCCATCTCTCCATTTAAAACAGAACATTCTGAATCCGTCCTTCTTTTAAATGAGTCGATGAATTGACAAAAGTTCTCTGAACGCCAGATTTTCTTGACTTCCACTAAGAAACCTTTAACAGAGAAATACAATACTCACAAAGGAAACTGAAACACTTTACCGAATACCTCATAGGCAAATGCAAACACATCTTAGCATAATCCAAAAATGAAAATGATCACAGAGCAAGAAAAAGATAAACATTCCCTTTGCACCTACAAGGTATACACCAGCAATAGTTTCCTGCCTTGTATATATGTCAGCTCATCTTGTAGTAACAGTTTGGCTATCCTCCCCCATATCTGTGCAATTCCTTACTGTGGACGCTGAGGAGCTAAACACACCATCCTGCTTGTCATAACAATCAGGAAGAGAGACCCTCCAATGGCTTCCCTGCCCCTGCCTCAGGGTGTGGCCTTGCCATGGCCCCAGAAGCCCCCCGGGGTTTTTTCCTGCAATTCTAATCAAAGTTAAAAAGGCTGCAACCTTGGAGCCAAGGCCTGGGCCACAGTCAGCAAGGAAGATATCAATCATGCTGTTAAAAACAAGCATGAAGGAAAGAGGGTGGGAGAGAGCTGAGAGCCCTTTCTGGGAAAAAGTTGCGGCTTCGGCTCGTCCCTCTGCTTTTCAGAGCGGGACACATTCTCTATTCTCGGAAACCACGGGGGTAACTCGGAGTTGCATTAACACATAATGGCTGTGTGAATGGATAAATCATTAATCCGCATGTGATGCTGCATGGCCTGTCACCACCATCAGCAGCATCAGCTCCTGACTCATACTCTGCCTGTTTTTTCCAGGTGGGATTCAGTGAATCCACTCTGGAGTCATACATGGGCCAGAGCGAGCCAGATCTGCAAATTCTGCCTCTTCTGCCTTACGCCTAGTTCTGCAGCTGTCTAATCCTCCTGCTTGTATAGGGACTCACAGACAGATAGAGACATATGCCCATGCATGCATGAGCACACAACAACTCTCATATCTAGCCAAGCAAGCAGGGCGAGCGGGTGGGAAGACAGGGGTTTGGCTGTGTCTGAATATTAGCTTTTCCACAGCTGGGGGCTGCTGGACCTGCTCCATTCATCAGACATCCATCAAGGTGTCAGTTTGGGTTATGAGACCAGGTTCCCAGGGTGATTGCACCTCTACCCTCCCTGCCAGCAGGTGTGTCTGATGTCCTTCTGTTTGAGCCAGGGTGGACAAAAGGCAAACAAGTCAAGAAAAAGTAGAGCCAACGTGAAGAGAGTACAAAATGAAGCGAGTAAAACACCAACTACTGGCTTGAAACTTTTCTTTAGAGTTAGAAACATTAGCATGAGCCGTGAAAAAGTATAAGTAATCCTGTAATGTTCTGTAACTCACTGTAATGTTGAGCTGGGTAAGGAGAGCGTTTATGGAGGAAGCAGTGAGGAGGCCCATGGCAAGTTTAGAGGAGCTGCAGAGAATTACGGCTCAGGTGGATCTCTAAACACCCTGATGGTGGCAGCATCAGGCTGAAGGGATGCGAATCTTCAGTGGTGAGAACTAGCTCAAGTAGATCCCAAACACATGCCATTATATTATACCTTTTTTCTGATGAAAAACTGAGATAAATATAAATCTTTACCTTACACTTTTCCCAAATTTCCATTTTCCCTCCTAAAGGTTGATCTTTCATAAACTGTCTCCAGAAATCAAACAATAACTAATATGTTCCAACAAAGTGTGAAAAATATTGTAGTGCATAAATAATTTAGTAAGTGTTTTTAAGCATCTTTAAACAATCAGAGTAAGCAGTTAATCATATAGATGTAAATTAGCCAAGGGTGAGTAAGTTCCATTCAATGTAAACTCACCCCCTCTCCTAAACCTATTTTCCACCGGAGACTTTGGTCATTTCCATGACTGCTCTACATAACAGCCCTCTCTAATGCCGAGGAGGACAGGCAAGGTAATTAATTCCCCCTGCTGCCTCTTTCTCTTCCTTTCTCCTCCTCTCCATGGTGAAGGGAGAAATCAGGGAATGTAATTTACACTAATTACCTTTTTGCATAGGAGTCTCATTTCAACTTTCCTTTTCATGTTGAAGCAGCAGCCGGGCTGTGCCTCTAAGCTTCAACACCCCTGATGAAAAATCACTACAAAATTTCCACAGGGAGAGAACTCTAAAGATAGAGCATAAGCTTAAGGATCCTTTGTTTCATACAGATTCGTTTCATATAGCATAAAGAACCCACTTTTAGTCATGATTTTTGTATAATCTGTTGGGACATTTGAATTTGTATTGGATAACTACTGCTGAGTTCCTCTCTTTCACTGACAGTGTTCATGAAAAGGGGAAGCAGGGCTTCCCTTTGACACCAGCAGAGGGACTATAGAGTAAACACAAATTAAACAGGAGGCTGCTCCAAAATAAATATGGGAAACATCAAGCCTCATCATTTTCATGCGCTCTTCAATCTTCATCAGCATGCATACCTCAATTGCATGAAAGGATGCCTATTATTTAAGATCCAAAGTCAAATTCTGGGTAGGGAGCATTAACAAAAACTACTACAAGACTACTTAACAGAAAACTATATAAAACATCATAAACATTTAATTATGTGAACATTTTTTTGTTGTAATGCAGTTTATTATTTCTACAATTCAAACCCAGATTTATCTCCACTGCATTGTTTTAATTATCACCCACTTTGCAGATGCATTATTCATAACAGATGTATATGTGAGAATCTGTCCATAGAGAATGACAGCTTGACAGCATCTGATTAAACGAAGCGTGCATTCACTAAAACGCATTAGTTTTCAGCCACAATGCTGCAGCCATATCGACACCTTCCATTTAAAATCGACTCCAAACAAACAGAGACATAAACCCATGCAACCCTGCAGCGGAGAGCCGGGAAAGTCCTGCGGATTGTGCATTTGTTGCGATCTAATTTGATGTAGGAGGAACGATGAGACTGATCCGGGACCGATCGGTCTCCGACCCCTCTTTCATCCCCCCTCCAGGAAGCTAAATGATCGTTTCCACATGTCGGATCCGATAGTTTGATGTATTTTCTGCTTGTTCTGGGCGATCTGGTGCCTTATCAGCGCATATTTTAACGGACAGCAGTCAGTCTCCTTTTAACTGCAGCTCCAATGCACTAAACTGTTGGGCTTTCTTTAACCTATTTAGATCAGGTAAAACATATGATAATTCTATAAATAACATGCCGCTTTATTAAAATAAATCTGTTTTTGTTCCTCCATGTGAGATGCAGTTTAATTGTGTGAGAACTGTAGGCGCCCGGAATGAAAACAGCGCATTTCCAGCGGAGAGTAGAGGAGAGGAGCCCTTACCTTGGTATACAGGGGCCATCGGTGCAAGGATTCCTGTTATTCATGGCAAAGAATAAAGCCAGCTTTCTGTTCAAAACTCAATAAATATCTGCCATCTTGAAAAAATGATGAGAGGGTAGCCTCGGTCTCCTGCATTACTGGCTTGGTTCATTAGTGGAGAAAATGCATGTAATTTTTATCCAGGCTATTTAATAATAATAATAAAAAAAGGTGGAAAAAGCTGGGGTCCGATGCAAGGCTGAGCGTCTGCAGATCCTCACCTGCTGGTTATTTATTCATTTGTTTTTTTCTTGCGTTGGCCCAAAAGATGAGCCGCGATGACAGGTTTACTTCAGCTAATGCGCGACATGTCTGTGGAGTGAGGAGTCTCTGCAAAAGTTGCAGCAGTGATCGGAGCGCAGCGAGTTTGGTTTGCAGGGAGAGAGTCGAATGACGAGCGAGTCGATGCAGGCGGAGGAGAGGGAGGGAGTAGGTTAAATAAATTCATTGATAAAGACTCTGATTGGGAAAGTTCAAGTTACAGAAACATTTCTTTACTATTATTATTATTATTATTATTATTATTATTATTATTATTATTATTATTATTATTATTATTATTATTATTATTATTATTATAATTATTATTATATATCAATACATTTATTATAATTCATGCAGGGAGTATTATTAGTTATATGGACACTGCAATTTAAATAGAACAGGAAAGGAAAAACAGAAAAAAAGAAGAAAAGATTAAAGAAAAAGGAGATAAAAGGGAGATAATGGCAAATGTATTTGTATAGCACAATTCAGTACAAAGACAATGCAAAGTGCTTTACATGATAAAAATATAGGGGAAAAAACAGAATCAAAGCAAGTTGGGGAAAAAAAATAAAATAAAAAAATGCAGAAACAAAAAAGAATATTAAAAACAGTTGGACTAAAGAAAATAAAAAAGTTGAACTAATGATGTTTCAGTTGAACTGTTTAACTAGAACAGTTGAAGGCAATCCTAAAGAAATTTAGACTTGATTTAAAGGAACTCAGGCTTTCCGTACTTTTACGGTTTTCTGGAAGTTTGTCCCAGATAAGTGGAGCATAGGAACTAAATGCTGCTTCTCCATGTTTAGTTCTGGTTCTAGGTATGCAGAGCAGATTGGAGCCTGAAGACCTGAGTGGTCTGGAGGGTTGATACACTGATAGCAAGTCTGTGATATATTTAGGTGCTAAGCCATTTAGGGATTTATAGACTAACAGAAGTATTTTAAAGTCTATTCTCTGAGATACAGGGAGCCAGTGTAAGGACTTTAGAACTGGGGATCATGTGCTGTACGTTTTTTAGTCTTAGTGAGGACAAGGGCAGCAGCGTTCTGGATCAGCTGCAGCTGTCTGATCCACTTTTTAGGCAGACCTGTGAAAACACCGTTGCAGTAATCAATTGGACTAAAAATAAACGCATGGATTAGTTTTTCCAGATCATGCTGAGACATTAGTCCTTTAATCGTGGAAATGTTCTTCAGGTGATAGAAAGCCAACCTTGTAATTGTCTTTAAATGCTTTTGGAGGTTTAAGTCTGAATCCAGCACTACACCTAGATTTAAGGTAACTTATAGGTTAAATGTATTTACAGACCACTTCTTTACAACGAATTTTCTAAAAAAAAAAAAAAAAAAAAACCCTACAATATAAAATTCAATTAAGACAATTAATCAAACCAATACTACAGGAAAAGAAAAATCTAATTCTATTAAATACAATTTTTTTCTCTCCAATATATTTTATTGAATTGTCTCTTTTTTGATACACCAAAACGTACAGACAACAAACTTTTAACATCTACTTATACACACTTACATTCAGTCATGCATTCACCATTTAAACCTTCATTTCTCCAGTTCCAAAAAGATACAAAGCCCTTTAGCCACGATAATTGTGATAAGTGCAGGAATATGCAGTGACCCTTTTCTGAAAAAGTGTAAACAGTAAATAGGATTTTCATATGAATATAATAGTGTCCCTGTTGCTACTGTAAAGTAGGTATGCAGAGACAGAGTATTGTTGACTATATTGAGTAATTGACTTTGTAGCAATCCCTCCTCCAGAGCAAGCATGAGAGAATAGTTAATTGCTGATGGCACCAAACATGAAATGTCTCCTGAGTTAAAGGTATAGGGGAGGATGTTCTTTTTCTGGGTGGATCATCAAAATAAGTGGTCCTCCTAATTGTGAATCATTCCTGTGAAACGTTTACGCGAGGCGTAAACTCTAACAGGGGAGAAAGTTCAGCAAAAAAAAAAAAAAAAAAAACTTTAAAAATTGCACAGAAAACGAAGTATTCATTATTATCTACGTTATTTAAAAGTAAAATTTGATCACTGAGGTACATTATTATATCAGATGATAGAAAAAAAATGACTCAGGGTTTAAAAGTGCCATGCCCAGCTGAAAGGATCATATATATTAATATAATATCATTAATATCATATATATATTCTTTATATTTATATTTAAGTACATTTTTACACAACACGATGTATAAATGGACGAGCTATTGCTTCAATTTATTTTTATAGTGTTACATGTTTTACATTTCTATAATACAGTGTCAGTGGCGTTCAACGTGCTTCTGTGTTTGATGACTCTGTGTTTGTTTGGTCGCGCCTGTGCAGAGGCTGGAGCGCTCCTACTTTATGACGACACGAGATTTGCACAGAATGGACTGGAATCGGATTACATCGGCTCACACAAATGTGAGTAATCTGTCATTTACCAGCCATCCTGCAGATCGCAGCATTATGTGCAATAAGCTCTAAATTAAACATGTCAGTTCAGCCTGCGCGTTAACAACACAGTGGTGCACAGTGAGTTCAGCCAACACAGATAATAAACTAGGCGACACATTTAAATGCATACTATACAGTTTGTTTCATCCAAGGTGAACCAAAGCATATAGTAAAAAAATATTGTGTTGCACGCAAAAATAAAGATGAAAAAAAAAAAAGTAAAATCCTTATTTCATTTCATTCAGATCCTTGCAGCATAAAACCGTAAGAGACAACATCTGAACACATTTAAAGACCAGATAAGAATCTTTATGCATATAATCTCGTTTCGTTTGTATAGACGTCAAAAAGATGAATAACAAAGATTCAAGTCAAAATTAATGAAAGAGAGCAGAACATATGAAAAGCAAAATGTTACTTTTCCAATGAATTCATGATCACAGCTTTAATTTGTTTTCAACACTTTTTCTTCTTTTAAAACTAGTTTCATAGGTTATTTTTAACTCGAATGATAATAAAACGTTCAAGAAATTCCTATGCTATAAAATATGTAACATTTGCTCCATCTACATTTTGCATAATAACCATTTTTGGCTCAACAATAAAATATTATTTGAGGGAATAAACACAAGAAACAGTTCAGTATCTCAATGAACATTTTCTCCCAAAGCTAATTACAAAATGTACATGTAGGTGATTACTGTAAACAACTGTAGGTTAACTAATGAAACCTTTTCAGTAGATAAATGATAAGGTGGATCCATATTTCAGGTTCTGTGTTCTGTTTGTTTAAGATCTGATTGTGAAACCCAGGCTACAAAGGATTTAGTTCTGAAAACGCTTTGATTTAATATATCTCAATTATTTTATGAAGCAGATCCCATTTAACTAGTGATGCAACTGTGTGACAGGCATAAAAATCTCCTTGGTGTCCAGCCTATATTTGCTGGGCACCAAAACAATGCTGTGGGCTGGTGTCCAATCAGAAACGCTTTGTTTATTCATGATACTTCATGTCAAAAAATCCTCTACAGAGCTCCAAAGAAGTGCGTATGTGAATTATATACATGTAAAGACATATTGCTTAAGAATAACAAAATAAAAAAGATTGATTACCAGGTATGAAATATAAACATTGGGTAAAATGAATATTGAATGCAAGAGCATCTCAGATGAGATATTTGCTGGTTGACAAAAAGAATCACACCAATTGTTGGTAACCCATTAAAAGTCAAAGCACATTAGTGCAAGAATGAAGTCAATTTAAAAAAAAAAATTGAATATATGCAAAATAGTGTAGCAGCAGCAATAGAGTTTAGTCTGGGCTTTCCTGAATGATTGTTAAATTGTTTATTTATTTATGTTTACATTTATATCAGACACCTTTAAAAAATATGCATTAGCTGTGTCTATACTCTATGCAACTGGTGCCAAAGAAATTAATTTGAAATACTGGGGAGGGTTCTTCTATTTTATCTTAATATTTTTCTGCTTGCATAATTAACTCACACACCATGGTTAATGAAACAACCAAAGTAGTCCAATTCTGTTGGATAAAAAAATATATTTCCGTCATTGTGAATTCATTATTTAAAGATTTTGCTGGGTTTTCTGCTTAAAAAAAACACAGCAAACATAAAGTTTTGTGTCTTTTCAGCAACATCTTCATGCCCCACCATAGCTTTCTTAAAGGAGCTCATACTGTACAAGCGTTTTCTTTATCAAAGTCACTGGATGTTTGTTGCCTATTGGCAATTAGATAAGCTAAAATCAAAAATATGACTAGCAATAGTTTTGAATATTGTTTAGCACCCTCCATTTTCCAGTACATGAAGGTTGTCAAGTAATTTGACAAGCATAAGACTTTTTCTATTTCCTGTTTTGACAATAACTTCTTATTTCTGGCATTTTTTTAATGGTTGTAGTAAACAAACATACTGTAGTGATGTGAAATTCAGGTCCTTGTCCTCGATGATACCTTTGTTTCCTGCATTGTTTGGGTACCTGTCCTCTTTATGTCTAGCTGAGTGCTGGTATGTATTTTTACATTTCTTTGTTAAGAAACAGCAATTCTTCTTTTGGGGCTATAAACCAGAGGAAGTACAGCCCTGCTCATGCTAGACGCACTGACTCATGACTATAAGTGATTGTGGTCATATAGTCCACTTAAGCTGCGGATGAAAAAGGTTTACATGAAAAAGGTCAATGACATTCAGGAGGAAGCAGAATATCACAAACAGTTTATTATGTCTTCTCAAAACCACTTCTTTACAAATATGAAATCAAGTGTGATGATGCTTTCGTAGACAGTAACTGTATTGTGAAACTCTGAAAATGCACATAATGTCTAAGTTGAAGCCGGCTATAACCCTGCACATTACACTTCCTGGCAGGCTAATGGTGCATTCTCATCTTTCAGTTCCTGATGTGTGCTTTATGTGAAACTGGTAACTTCTGGAAAAGTATCTGTGACTCCCAGCCTCCAAACCAGAAATGAACAGGCTGACATGAAGGGCACCGAACAGCCCAACCCAGCCATGCTGGCATTTCTGGCTGCAGAGCTGGAGCTCAGGCGCAGTGCCGATGTAATTCCCCTACAGCAAAACCAAGAAAGATAAAAGACATTATCAG